AGCCAATCATATTCCAGTGAGGGGGAACACAGGTGTATGCATATTCCATTATATCAAATAAAGAGGTTCAATTACTAACCAAGCACTGCATTTGATTTTCGAAAAATTATTTGCATAGATAAAAATACCATGGGCACAGCGGCCATCTTAAAACGTAAGGAAAAGGGAAACAAAACGGACTCAGAATCATACAGAAATAGTTAAAATTTATTGGACACATAATGAGGAAGAAGGGCTTGGAAAATGTGACACTCACAGGGCATATCGAAGCGAAAGGAACAGGTGGAGGGTACAGGCCGCTTACCTTAAAATCTTGTATAAATAGATGGCGAAACTGCGGATGAGAAATGTCACTAAAAGCGACAATAGTTAAGAAGTTGTGGAGAGCCATAATCATCCACGGCTTGAAGAGATAAGGCACATAAAAGGAGGAAATTTGCATAGATTTTAAGTTAACTGTAGCCTGCTTCACTTCGTCCTCTTCGATATCGTCATCACACACAGTCATCATGTCGTTATTCCGCAAAAAGGAAGTAGGTGTGATGTCCACTTCCGCTTTTTGCGGCTGCCGTAAAATAGCCCCTTGCCACATTAATGTGTGTTTGTTTGGAATTTGAGCGATTAATTTGTAGATTAGGACCCGCGCTCAGTTTGTATTAAAAATTTCCCGAATACTTACAATTAGATGTAAATGTACATGCTTTATCCTAAAATGACTTGATAAATTTGATAAAATCTACCGTTTTGGAGTTATCGACAGTAAAATTTCCGATTCATTCGGAGGCAGCCATTACTGGCGTTGTTTGCATACATTTGCTGCGGAAAGCTAAGCGCGGAAGAACGTAGTTAACAGTCTTTTTTTTTTTTTTTTTTACTGATCTTACTTGTCTGCGTAAGAGAACTATATTGCTTGCGCAATAATAAAGACAGGTGAATATTCCACACATATCTAACCTAAATGTAAGTATTCGGGAATTTTTTATTGCAAACTGAGCGCGGGTCCTAATCTGCAAATTAACCATTTGAGCTTATTTTTGCCTGCAAGTTTGTTGCATTTTTGTGTGAACATGTCCATCCTTCGGATTTAAATACGGTATAGATTCACTTATGGCTAATACCCATGGGAAAGGTATGAATCCTCTTCTTCTCCTCCCCAGCTAATAACAGGACAGAACGGGTTCTATAACCTTGGATGGCAACTAGTCTACCGCAGAAAGAAATGGCAACCTACGGTGGGAAAAAATCTGCCTCGTCAATCATGTATCGAAAGATACATGATCGTCTAAGCGTGTATCACGAATGTCACATAACGGGTAATATTATCTTTAATTTTATTATTATTAGATATAGCACTATCGATCATTATTCATTTTTGACTAGTATTTCTTTCATTTTAATTTCAATTGCTTTTTTTAAAATTTAGTAAATATTATTAGAAATATTTTTTTTGATTTTATTAGATGAAGAATTCTCACTGATTATTTATAGAGATAAATCCACTTTCATCTTAACTTCAATTGCTTTTTATCACATTAGCGGAATGACAGGAATATTTCATTCTTACAAAAAAAAAGAGTACTGCACTCTTATTTGATATTGGTCCTCCTATATAGCAGTGAATGCTGAAAAATCTCATCACAGATGACGTCGGGCAACAGAAATGTGGTTCTACAGAAGGATACTGAGAATACCATAGAGTGAACATTTGAACAATGACGAAGTTTTAATGAAAATGGAAACAAAAAGCACACTTATACTTAAGCCCAGGAAGAGACAGTTGAAATTTTTAGGGAACATCAAGAGGAAAATGGGATTAGAAAATTTGATAATCACAGGATATGTTGAAGGTAAGAGGCCAGAGAAAAAAAAAAAACAGTACTTAACCTAGCTAACGACCTTATATAAATGGTTAGCAGAGCTAAGATTAGGAGAGTTACAAAGGACAGGAACTTTTGGAAAGTCATAATCGCCAACGTCCTGAAAGGACACGGCACATAGAAGAAACATAACAAGCTTGTGCAAATGATTGACAGAACAGGGATTAGAGAGAGAGAGAGAGAGAGAGAGAGAGAGAGAGAGAGAGAGAGAGAGAGAGAGGGGGGACAATTTACTAAAAGTTAAAACGGGTAGGAACTTGTGGAGAACCATGATCACCAACTTCCTGAAGGGATACGGCACGTAGAAAAACCATTACTATTAATATTATTCTGAATTTTATTGTTATTAGATGAAGCATTGTCAATCATTATTCATTTTTGACTAGTATTTCTTTCATGTTAATTTCAGTTGGTTTTCCTTACATTAGTAGTATTATTAGAAATAGTATTATTAGTAATACCATCTTGAATTGCATTATTGTTGGATGAAGCTTTATCAACTATTATTTTTCGCTCGTATTTCGACTCAAATTCCAGTGCCTTTTTTGTCCTAATCAATTTTCCTATCGACAGTTGTGAGGGGAAATCGAACTCGTGGAAGGCCAAATTGGCACAAAATGTGACAAAAACAACAAGGATAAAGATACTAGTTCCAAAAACGTGCGGAATAATTAAATAACGTTTCCAAAATGAAAATGAAAAATTGTAATCGAAAAGGAAAAGTATGTGTTCGTGTTTGGTATTGTAAAACCAAAAATATTCTAAATGGATATGCGCGTAGGTTAATTGATTGCTGTCGGAATGAGAACCCGGAGAGCTAAGTTCGAATTCCAGCAGAGTTAATTACAGTTTGATCCTTACTGAGTGTCTTACACAAAATTCGACATTAAATAACCCAACAAGGGGTTGACATATCATAAAATCAACCACCCTATCATCTAATTGCAGAGTAAAGCACACTCTTAGAACTGTACGAACACATTCTAGAATGTCTTTTCATTTGGAATAGTGATAAGATCACTGATTTCTGTTCCTCCTTGGTGCACACTGCTAGCGGAGCGGCCATGTTTGCACTGTAACGGCAGTAAGAAATACTGGCGCGATCAAGCTCAAAGTTCGATCACGTGACCACAATATTATCAATTGTAAGCACACACGAGCAGAAGGCAGTGTGACAGACCTAGATATCTTATGGCGAAAGTGTAGATAATTTTTGACTTACCCTCGTATGTTCTACTGAAAATGTTTAGTAAACTCGTCTTATAAGACAGTGTCAGTGAGATCAGTCGCTTTTTTTAAAAATACTATTGTTCACTCAGCTTAATTTCTGTGCAGGAGTGATTCATCTGGCGTTAATCAACAGCTTGAACAAAGCCAGTACGCTGAAACTCTGTCACGTCGCTCAAACTCTCGACGCGTGGTCGAATGGATAGAATGTTAGCATTTCGACCATGGTACCCGGTTTCTGATTCCATCATGATAGATTTGCCAGTTGGTGGTGGTGATGGTGAGGGGAGACGATTCCAGTTTGGAAGTGTCAGAAAACCACACCCACAGATTGACCCAAAGTCGTGACATTTGGTAGAAAAACACAATTCGGAAGTGGTCGATGACTAAACTTAGTAAATATTCACAAAAAGTACTAGGTTATCGGCAAGGTCTCATCATTTTACAGCTCAAAATGGCTAGATGTGGCCGTAAGTTCTGTGCTAGCAATTTCTTCCCTCCTATTGTGGAGCTCTCTTCCGGCTTTGAGCTTACCAATCGGGCTTCATCTAGAAAAAATTAAATTTAAATGTCAATCGTTATATTCTGGCTTCTTAATTCCTGTTCTTTTATTGTTCTTGCTCCTGAATAATGCTTTTATTTTTCGTATATTATCTCACACCCAGTAACCCCCTGCGCCTTAGTGGCCTTATTGCCATGCTTGGGGTGAAATATCTTTAAAAAATCAACAAAAATGAGACAGTGAGACAAAGTTTAAAAAATATTCTCAGGCTGATCCTTAAAACTAAATTTGGGTGACCGTATTAAGGGTGGATACCGGGTAGAATTTCTCTTGAAAATATCTGATTGTCGGGGATCCTGCCTCAGTGTGAGGAAATGGTTAACGAGATAATCTGTTTGAGCATTACCATGGAATAGTGAGTTCGATTCTCACTGGGTAACCCATAAAAACTCGGGAACCTGTCTTACTATGACGACGCCTTACTTATTAGGCAACAAAGGTTTCACTAACGGATCTCACATCAATAAGTTATATAGCTATATTTTTATATACACTAGTACGTAGTATTAACCATTATTAGGCAACTCAGTATGGAGTAACGGTTAACGAGGATAATCTGGTTGATCATTTTTACTGAGTATTGTGCTCGAATCTGAGTAGGCACTCCATATTTGTGTCCTTGTTACAAACTAAGGTAAGCTTAGTAAATGACAATTTAACTGCAACGGGCTTGTCTGGTGGACTTAGTACTAGAGTAGTCAATTCGATCTTCACTGGGTGACAAATGTGTGGCTCTATTCCAAAACTCAGGACTGAGATAGTCTGGGTGACCATTAATGTTGTGTAGCGTGTTCGATCATGTGGCCTTGTGTTAAAACTAACGTTAGCTTAGTAAATGACAATTTCGGAGCGCTTAGGCTGTGTGGCAACCGTTATTCTTGACTTGTTGACCATTACTTCCTGAGTGCTCCATACTTTTTGGTCTTGTTCCAAACTAAGCTCTGTTTAGGAAAGGTCCCCAAATCATAAAATAAAGTGAATAAAAATAAAAGAGCGAGAGAAAGTTATAATAATAATAATAATAATAATAATAATAATAATAATAATTGTTTGAAAAATGCCCAGATTTAGATTATCTTCTCAGGCTACCCCTTAAGACTGAACTTGAGTGACCGTGTTAAGGGTGGACACTAGGTAAATTTTCTCTTCGAAACAACATCTGATTGTCAGTTGGCAACCCGAGAGGTCATTGCACCTGACAAGAAAATGTCCTGTGTCAGTATTTCTTTTTTTAAAATGTTTACTTTTTATTTCATTTATTTTTAAATAAATCTAATCAAGTAAAAACAGAACGAAAGAGGAATGAAATAAATAGCACAATGCTAAAGAGTCCAATGCAACGTAGCAACGAACTGATCAGTACAGGTGGGTGTTTGGAAAACGATGATAGAATAAGTAATCTATTATCAGGCCGTTCTTCTCTTTCTTATTTGCCTTTTTCTTCTTTTCCATTTTCTTCTTTGCATTTTTGCCCCCTTTTTCTTCTTGGCCTTTTTTTGTCTTTTTCCTTCTTTTTCTTTTCCCTGTCTTCTTTTTTTTTGTCTTCTTGGCTTTCTCCTTTTTTGACTTCTCTTTTTGCTTTTTGCCTTCTTTTTTCTTCTTCCTTTTCTTCTTCATCTTTACCTCCCTCTTCTTGCCTTCATCTTCTTTGCCTTTTTTGCTCTTTTCTTCCTTTCCTTGCCTTCTCCTTTTTTTGCTTTTTAACTTCTTTTTCTTTGTATTCTTTGCCTTCTTTTTCTTCTTCCTCTTTGTCATCTTCTTCTCCTTTGCCTTCTTCTCCTTGCCTTCATCTTCTTTGCCTTTTTTGTTTTTTCTTCTTTCCCCTGTTTTCTTCTTTTTTTTTTTTGGCCTTCTCCTTCTTTGACTGCCTCTTTGCTTTTTACCTTCTTTTTTTCTTCGTCTTCTTCCTTTTCTTTTTCATCTTTGTCTTCTTCTCTTTTGCCTTCTTCATGTCTTCATCTTCTTTACATTTTTGGCCTTCTTCTTCTTTGCTGTTTTCCTTCTTTTTTTCTTTGGTTTTTTTCCCTTCCTCTTCCTGTCTCCTCCTTTCTTCTTCTTCTTCTTCTTCTTCTTCTTTGCCGTGTTTAAACATTTCTTCCTCTTCTTTTACTTATTTCCTTCTACTCCTTGTTTTAACTCCTCCTTACTCTCTTGACTTACGGCCACAGACCATTGAAACATCAATTCTCATCCGATCACCGAAGTTAAGCAACGTCGAGCCAATCAGTTTTGAGATGGGTGATTACTTGATAATACCAGGTGCTGTAAATTACTTGGATGTGCGGGTGGTGTAATGGAAAACAGTTCGGAATGAGAAATCGCAGAACCGTTTTCGAATTCTAGTCGAGTTTGTTACATTCACTTAAACGCAAATACTATTGGAAAGGTATGAATCCACCTCTCCCTCCACCTACGGGTTAAATAGTAAGATTTGTATCTGAAAATCGTTATTATCTAAATAAATGACAATACAATATTCATTAAAAATTTATTCCTAGAATCCAAAAATATGTTCCAGCTTTAAATAACCTACAAAAGGTTGAAAATCCGTGAAAATCAAATCAATCAATCCAATTCTTACTCTCTTATTCTATCTCCTTTTCTCCCCCTCTCTCTGTTTTACAGTAACTTCCTCTCTTATTTCCTTTTACTAGTCTCCTCCTCTTACTCCTCTTTCCAATTCTATTACCGTTTTCTCTCTTTCTACTCATACCTCTTCTCTTTTCTTTCCTTCTTTCCTCCTACTCTTTGTTTTACCGTCTCTTTTTCATTCTTTTTATCTTTGCCTCCTCCTTCTATTCCCGTTTCCTCTCTCCCCTTCTCCTACTCATCTTTTCCTTCCTCTTCTATTTCTTTGTCACTATCTCTCCTCCTACTGCTCACCGCCCTTTTCTACTTCTTTTTTTTCATTCTGTCCTCCTCCTCTTCCTCCTTCCACTTTTATTTCTTTTTATCTTCTCTCCTATTCTTTCATTTATTTCCTCCTCCTTATTTCCTATTAATGTCGTCCGTCAAGTCCCTATTTAAAATAATTCCTCTTCTATTTACTTTTTCTTCTTCCAACATCGTATTTTATTTCCTTTTTCATTTCTCCTCTTACTCCTTGCCTTACGTCCTCCTCCTTCTGTTTTTCATTTCTCCTCTTACTCCTTGCCTTACGTCCACCTCCTTCTGTTTCTCATTTCTCCTCTCCTCCTACTCCGACTCCATTTAACTTTTTCTTTATTTTACTTAATTTCATTTACCTACTACTTCGCGGCTTGGAATTAGAAATCAAAAATCTGAGTTCGAATTCCAGTCGGCGTCGTTACATTCATTTACGCTCAAATTCGAACCTGCATCCCTCTTGGATCTACCGCTAAATCCGATATGTTCTGACCAACTGAACTACAAAGAACCAATTAATCAGGAAAGAGGTAAATTGTACCTTTTAAGCGGAAATTCTCTCTTTATAGATCTCTCGAAATTTTTCAGATCTACACTTTCGTATCCGGACGTAAACAAAGCGAATTTTCTAGAAAAAGTAATGGATTGTTTATTTTTATTTAATCCGAGAGATTATTTTATAACTTAAACGTTATTTTTAGTGGATACTCGTACCTGAGTAGACGCCCCGTTTACTTATAAAAAAGTATATTTATTTATTTTCGTCTGCCGGTCCTGAATAATCGAGAAATCTGGTTAAGGAAAAAAAAAAAGAAAGGAAATACAACAATGAAAAAAGAAAAAAAAAAAAAAAAAAAAAAAAAACGAAAAAATATTTGCGTGTGTACGTGCGTGTGTTTGTGAGTGTGTGTGTGAGCACAAGAGAGAGACAGAGATAGAGAAAGAGAGAGAGAGAGAAGTGACGAGGTTGATAGATAGAGAAAGGAAATAGAAAATGGAAAAAGAGAAAGAAAATAAGCGAAAGAGAGAAAAATGTGCGTCTGAGTGTGTATGTATTCGAGAGGGAGAGAGAAAGAGAGAGGAGAGGAAGAGAGGAACAGTGGCAGAGAAAGATAGAGGGAGAGAGAGAGAGAGAGAGAGAGAGAGAAAGAGAGGGACAAAGCAAAAGAGAAAGAGAAAGCGACGGAGTGATTAATTTACAATCAAAAGGAGAAAGAAAGGAAGCGGAGATTGTTAAACACTTAAATGCTAAACGCTTCCCGAACGAAGTATGACAGAGAAAAACGAGAAGCCAATTAAACGAGGAAATAGAGACCACTAGGGTATCTCAGATTTTCAAGTACTATCTAAGTACTTAATGCTGGAATGCAGGAAGTCTTTAATGAGTATGGCTTGATAGGATAGTCAATCTAACTTTAGAATCAGCGAGCGAAATTCTGATTTTCATTATGGTTCTAATTATTTTATGTGCCGTGTCCCTTCAGGACGTGGTTGATCATAGCTCCCCATAACATCCTATCCTTTGTAGACCTAAGAAACGTTTGTCAACTTATCATCCCTCCCAGGTATGTGATTAGGTTTATCCCTTGCTTCCTGTTTAGAATTGGGTTTCCGGTTCCTTCTAAAGTCTTTTTCATTCACTTTCACTCCCAGTAGCCCCTTGCATCTTAGTGGCATTATCACCTTGCTTGGGGTGAATAGAGGAGTAGAGGTTTATCCCTTGTTTCCTGTTTAGAATTAGGTTTCTGGTTCCTTCTAAAGTCATTTTCATTCTCTTTCACTCCCAGTAGTCCCTTGCATCTTAGTGGCATTATCACCTTGCTTGGGGTGAATAGAAGAGTAGAGGTTTATCCCTTGTTTCCTGTTTAGAATTGGGTTTCTGGTTCCTTCTAAAGTCTTTTTCATTCACTTTCACTCCCAGTAGCCCCTTGCATCTTAGTGGCATTATCACCTAGCTTGGGGTGAATAGAGGAGTAGAGGTTTATCCCTTGTTTCCTGTTTAGGATTGGGTTTCTGGTTCCTTCTAAAGTCTTTTTCATTCACTTTCACTCCCAGTAGGCCCTTGCATCTTAGTGGCATTATCACCTAGCTTGGGGTGAATAGATGAGTAGAGGTTTATCCCTTGTTTCCTGTTTAGGATTGGGTTTCTGGTTCCTTCTAAAGTCTTTTTTTTCATTCACTTTCACTCCCAGTAGCCCCTTGCATCTTAGTGGCATTATCACCTAGCTTGGGGTGAATAGATGAGTAGAGGTTTATCCCTTGTTTCCTGTTTAGGATTGGGTTTCTGGTTCCTTCTAAAGTCTTTTTCATTCACTTTCACTCCCAGTAGCCCCTTGCATCTTAGTGGCATTATCACCTAGCTTGGGGTGAATAGATGAGTAGAGGTTTATCCCTTGTTTCCTGTTTAGGATTGGGTTTCTGGTTCCTTCTGAAGTTTTTTTTTCATTCACTTTCACTCCCAGTAGCCCCTTGCATCTTAGTGGCATTATCACCCAGCTTGGGGTGAATAGATGAGTAGAGGTTTATCCCTTGTTTCCTGTTTAGGATTGGGTTTCTGGTTCCTTCTAAAGTCTTTTTCATTCACTTTCACTCCCAGTAGCCCCTTGCATCTTAGTGGCATTATCACCTAGCTTGGGGTGAATAGATGAGTAGAGGTTTATCCCTTGTTTCCTGTTTAGGATTGGGTTTCTGGTTCCTTCTGAAGTCTTTTTTTCATTCACTTTCCTCCCAGTAGCCCCTTGCATCTTAGTGGCATTATCACCCTAGCTTGGGGTGAATAGATGAGTAGAGGTTTATCCCTTGTTTCCTGTTTAGGATTGGGTTTCTGGTTCCTTCTAAAGTCTTTTTCATTCACTTTCCTCCCCATTAGCCCCTTGCATCTTAGTGGCATTATCACCCTAGCTTGGGGTGAATAGATGAGTAGAGGTTTATCCCTTGTTTCCTGTTTAGGAGGATTGGGTTTCCTTGGGGTGAATAGATGAGTAGAGGTTTATCCTTGTTTCCTGTTTAGGATTGGGTTTCTGGTTCCTTCTGAAGTCTTTTTCATTCTCTTTCACTCCCAGTAGCCCCTTGCATCTTAGTGTCATTATCATCTTCCTTGGGGTGAATAGATGAGTAGAGGTTTATCCCTTGTTTCCTGTTTAGGATTGGGTTTCTGGTTCCTTCTGAAGTCTTCTTCAACTCTGTACTTCTAACGTCTTAGACTCTGAACTTTTATTTACTATTGAATTTCTTCTTCATTTCTCATCAGGAGTAGATAGGTTCGCCTATCGTCCGGTTCACACTCCTCTCCAGTCTTTTGAACAGGAGGAGAGATTTAATGTTATTTACTTCGTACAATACATCTATTGGATGCTTTGGTACGCATCAGTAATGTTTCTAATTAAATCTTGACCTCTTCAAGTCTATAGTCAGCCGTTAATTTTTCTGTATAGCCCCAAGTCATAGTATAGTCACTTCTTGACTTTTCTTACGCTCATACAACACGACACAGTAACCCTCTAGCTTGAAAGGCTCTTGGGCCTTGTATTGGGTGAATATTAGCTAAAAATTCATTTATATATACCGCAATTTCCCATGTATAATACGCCTTTATCCATAATACGCACACCTAAAATTGTGCCGAAAGTGTTGGAAAATGCTTCTATTCATGTATAATACGCACATCATCTTTGGTAATCAAACCTTATAAATTGTACCTCTCCAATTTCATTATCGCCAGCGTTTCCTACTTTTATTTAAGAAATGGCTTTAAACATAGAATAATATTATTCTAATTTAGTTTTATGATAATTCTTATTTAATTTTACGGTAATTTTTAAAAGACTTTTTGTAGCAATGCATAATACGCACCCCTGATTTTGCTTATTATTTTTTAGGAAAAAATGCGCATTTTACATGGGGAATTACGGTACTTATGTAACAGGGATATGATTATACCAGAAAGATAACAAGAGTAACCCTTTGCACCTTCTCGTGCTAACGTTCTCTGGTGACATGAAGTGGAAACATTGTGTTGCATAGCCCCTTGGTGGGGGTGGTCTTCGGACGATGGCTTCAATTTCACAATAAAGTCACATTCTTCTCTCGCTCGTATTCTCACGGCCTGTGATTGCTAGTCAATTTTGGTTCGGAGATGAAAAAAAAAAAAAAAAGAGACTTCAACACGAAGAAAACACGTTTACATTGTTCGACGGTTAAGACTCAACTACCCGAAAAACCTTTCTCTATCTATCATTCCCACGCTAGTTCAGCCAATCAAAATCGACTTCCCTTATTTTGTCTTGTATCTGACCCCTAAAGTCAAACTGGGGAAGTCAGAGCAAAGACACACTCCCTCTAAAAATAATAGTCTTCTAAACTATTATGTAATAATTGTATTGGATCAATTACTAGGTCCGCTGCTAGGCAAGCTGATTCATTGTGCCGTGCTAGCAGTTTTTATCGCCAGAATCTATCTTGCCAAAATCTGTCGTCAGAATCTATTGGGTTGGTGCATAATTATCAGGCGTTTTTTAAACACTATTTATTATGGAAAAAGAAAGATAACAATTCATTTTTAAATGATTATTCCGGAGCGTATGATTATTGACATAACCTGCGGCCGGATGGCATTACCATTTTCCCTTTTAAAATGGGGAAGTCGTTGATTTGGGATGCGACCTGTGCGGATACATTTTCGGTCGGTAATTTGATCAGGTCCGCGGTTGAGCCGGTGTCCGTCGCCCGGGACACAGAGATGAAAAAAATAGTTAAATATTCTTCTCTTGCTGATAGATTTATTTATTTTTTACTCCTGTGGCAGTGGAGACTTTAGGGGTTATTGGCCCTCGTTCGATGGCGTTCCTTCGGAGGAGTGGCGCGATTGCGTCTCGATTAAGGGACGAGCCTCGCGAAACGGAGTGGCTCTTGCAGCGTGTCTCACTGGCGATGGTTCGAGGTAATGCTTTCGCCATCATTGCGGCTGGCAGAGGATAGCAAAAAAAGGTGTTTATAGTTTCTGGAATTGTCATCAATGGTCAACTGAACTTGCTTTGCTGAGAGAGTCCAAGTTTCAGAGCCACAGAGTAAGATTGGCTCAATAAGTACGCGGAAAAGTTGGATTTTGAATTGACGAGCAAGATTGGATTTCCAGATCTTATCCATTTTGTTACAATCAGTCCATGCTATGCCTTTTCTAATATTGAAATCTTTCTCAGAATTCTTGATGTGTGATCCTGGATACTTGTAGTCTTCGACACATTTGAGGATGTTGTCTGAGAGTGTTTTGATTTCATGATTGTTGCGAATGTTAATTGGCATACACTCAGTTTTGGTTTCATTTAGGTG